TGTAACGATGCTTCTCCACTGCGTGATATTTCGGTGAAATCAGACTGTGGAGAAAGCCTCTTGGAGATTCGCGGACGAAATCCAAAACCATTTACTATGTGCGCATGGGTGTACCCGAAAATTCCAGACATCAACGTTACAAAGTGTGATTCCACTCTGTGACATTAGTACTTGATGCTGATCGAGTTCGGAAACCCTTGTCGAGAACGAATTCGGAAAACACAAGCGTACTAAGACCGACATCTGAAACTTCAAAAAGCGTTAAAAACCAAAGTTCGTGCTCGCTGTCGTGCTCGGCGGAGAAAACTGCGGTTGCTGCCGCGTCGCCGATCAGGGTACGCTTGTGCGTTTCGAATTCGTCCAGACCGATAGCGCTGCGAGCGCGAAAATTTACATCGACGCTTCGGCCTGATCCCAACTGGAGCAGACTGTAGCAAGTGTTACATTCATTCTCGATCTTTTTTCTCGATCTGATTCTCGATCTGTTCTCTTCCACAAGGAAATGATGCGGGAATTGCTGCTAAGAGCATAACAAAAGCGAAGGATGTTCGGCTGAGAACTCGAAAAGTGAATAGTCCCGGTCCATTTCTGCACAGATTGTTTTAGGAATCACAAGTGCTCTGCTCCGCATTGAAGCTTCACAACCTTGAGCTCCTATTTAGCTTATATTATGTCTTTTTGCGCTCGTATCGAGAACTTTCTTCTCCACTTACTAACTGGCATATGCGGCTCCGCCCGGCCTTGTCAAAACACTATGATAAAGGTCAGCATGCCTATCCCGTACAACTTTCCCAGTGCCCACTCCTGCATGCCATGCCTACCTCCCTGTTCCCGTTTCGTTTTCGTAATCAGCACGCCCACTTACCCTCCCTGTGCAAACTCCCAGGCCCCACAGCTCATCTTTTGCAAAAAAAATCGATAAAATCGACGATCGACAATAAAAAGTAGCCTATGACAGCCGCCCCGCCCCGAAGTGTGTGCAAAGTTTGGTCCGGATCGGTAGGAATTATCTATTCGAAACACACATACAGATAGACAGATATACAGACCGGCATTCAGCTTCATACAGAAGATTGTGTGCAACAAAGGCTCAAGTTTTATTCAAATCACTTGCACGTAGATTCGCTTTACGGAATAAATGTTTACATTACCTCTAGGCACTCTAAAGCAAGTCTCAGGCAATCAATAAGTATGCAAAGCGTCGCACAAAAATTAACTCAACGCTACGACGATAACAAATCAACAAATTCTCAGTTGTTTTGAGTCTATGATTGTCGTAACCAGTTTGCTAAAAAAATCGCTACAGCCTAATTCCCCGCTTTGCGCAGCGTAGCGGAAAATCAATAATTAGATGGCCAAGGTTGCGTTCAAACTGATCTGGAAGTTCGGGAACAGTTCTAGCACGCGCTCAATTCGAGCACTGAGCTGGAACTGTTCCCGAACTTCCGGATCAGTATGAAAGCAGCCTAATGTTGTTGTGGAAACAAAAAATGTTTGGAAGTATGTGCCCACAGCATTAGGATGAAACCTACAGTATACTTACCGTAATTTTACTACACATAACCTGATGCCGGGCTACACCGGTCGCAGCATCGATTATGTGTTATATACCAACTATGTGGCAGACTCCCACGGAGTTCCGTTGTAAACTGGCACACTCAGAGCTTCAGAGATATTACGCTCAGCATTGGATGAAACCTACAGTATAACTACCGTACTACTTACCGCTCACCAATGGGTAGTACCGTCGTGACAAAGACATAGTAACCTGCTATCACAAGGAGCTCAGCTATTACTCTAATCATGATAATTTGGGGAGGAGCAAGCAGGTAATAGCTCTGATGCAACCAGCTGACCTGTTTGCACTTCCACTGCTCTCACTTCAAACCAGAATAGCATGAAAGATCTAGGGGCCTGGAACCGAAAAATAAAATCAGCTAGGTTTGGTGATCCAGAAATCACTGTTCAATCACTTTCGTTTCCTCTGAATCGACTCAGGAATGGTACAACACCCATTGAGTGGGTGGAGGCATCTTTCAGGTTGTAAAAGATTTTTGAACTATCCTCCTGATACCGCCAGTCGCTCCTCTCCCCTATATATTGTAGTACAAGCTATACTTCCGATATTGCCTATTCTTCTTAAAAAGAAAGCCATATGTTGCTGAAGTGACGGGAAGAGGGAACGATAGATAGGTGCATAAAAATCAAAGCTGTTTTGGAGATTGCGCGGCACATCTCAACTTCGCCATGGCTGTAAACTTCAGCAATGAGTATTCACATTCGGGAGAAAATCTTGAAAACAGCTGCTAATAAGAGGAAAGGTTGAAACAATTTTCGAGAGTTTTGGGAGTAGAAGCTCTTGCGATCTCTCTCTGTACTTCTGAAATCAATTTTGACCACTGCCGAGAATTTAACCGTTGAAGGGCACCGCCGAGGTGTCTGTAAATTGCCTTCTCAAAGATCTCTCTAATATCGAAGATCATCTGCGCTAATGTGGCAAGCAACTCTTCAGTATATGATCTTTGCTATGGACGGCATAGATCTCCGCTCAACAGCAAAAGATACTCGCATCACTGAAATCGTAAAGCTAGAAGATTGTAAATCCATTTGGAGCATCCGCAGTCGTCAGTAGCCTCAGCTCTGTGGGCAAAAGGATCTATGATATAAGCAATTGCTGGATTGAGTGTAGAAGATCGCACCTATTGCGCTTTATCTAGCCTTCCACTTTCAGTATGCTTCAACTGAAAGTAAACTTTCTTGCATAGGAAAGAAGTTCCGTGAAGTGATTATTTATTTATTTTTATTTTTACACTCAAGGCGTTCCATTAAGAAAACACATCGAGAAGTTAGTTATACAGCGAGATGAACAAGAAATGTAAACGAATGCAGACACAATCATGTCAGTCCGAGTCTAATCCTAGTCAGACTAATATAAGAAAGATGAAACGGCTTGCATTGAATTGTTGATGGGCTATTAGATATGTATACAAATGTAGGCATTGATACTCATAACCCCAAAACTTATAACTCTATGGAGATGGGATCCATGTCCCCTCGTTGCCAGCGAAACGATCTCTACGTCACTCTCAAAGCGTTGAATGTCCTGATTATGATTATGTCGATTGTACTTGGCAAACGCTGAAGATTTTCTGCATTTTTAGCTGGCATACAATACCACCAGACGGTAGGCAGCCACATGTCACGAATGAATACAATTTGCACTTACGATAGATCGTGTCATCGTGCAGTGATTAAGCACCCTGAGTAATTTACCGCGTACAGAAATGAAAAGATCTATATCAGAAGATACGGCTCGTCGAGCACAATCGAATAGTGCCATTGGCTTGACATTCCGTCCACTCTGAAGCGAGACATGCCACGCTATCGTCATGTCACCTGACGCACGTGACCGTAGCGTCTTCTTGTAGAGTTTTGCGCAATATTGCACAGTTATAGTAGGGCTGACGTAGAATACTATACGATTACTGTAGGAAAATGCAGTAGCTTCGAGTCATTGATAGCGTAATTTCTTAAATCCTATGACAGCTACTATACATACCGTGACAGCGTCCCACTAATGATCAAAAAACTCATGAATCATCTGAATGCTCACAGATAGGACCTCTCTCAAATAAGTTTGCCTGCAGATAAGTCCTGACTTATCTGACAGTCTTCGGACTTAGCCTGCAAGGGAAGGACCCTCGGTCGAAGTGGGGTTCCCACACTTGATGCATATCATTGTGCTGGTCTTGAGGCACTAATACCAAATCAGTGTTCCTTAGCTGCTCAATGACCTTCTGGGAAAAGCTAAGAGCGATGGTTTCGCCAGGATGACCACGGATCGCTTGAGTTGGCGGCGCAGAGAATCGTCTTGTGGAGGGATGGCCGAGTGACTGCTGTGAAAACTATGGAGGAAGTGGTTAAGAGTATGAAATACTGTTCCAAACATTCTTGTTTGCAGATGGGATTGTTTGATAAGTATCCTTAGAGGGTCCCTAAGGCAGAGAAACACCCGGCTCCCGTTGAAGAATATTTGCAAAGCAAGAATGTTTGGGACATAAGCATTCCGACTCTTTACCACTTCTTCTATAGTCTCCGCAGCTATCCACTTGGCCATTCCTCCGCTAACTTAAGCGATCCGTGGTCATCCCTGAAGAACCATCACTCGTAACTTTTTCCAGAAGATCATTGAGCAGCTAAGGAACACGGATTTGGTATTAGTGCCCCAAGACCAGCATAATTACGCATCACGTGTGGAAATCCCACTTCGACCAAGGGTCCTTCCCTTGTGAGAAGATTTTAGGGCAGTTCTAGTGGAAAAAAGGACTTATTTGTAGGGACTTAGCTGAAGGGTCTATAGGGCGGACTTCTTTGGTAAAATAGCTGCCTTACGTGTAGGACTCCAGGGTACCAAAAGTTATTTGATGGAATCAAAGTGCTTAAATGACCAAAAATTTTAGAAAATTTGTGCAATGGCAGCTGCTTTGGAATGAAAGGATATTGATATTGAGGTGGAAGTTCCTATAGTGACCAATTGAAAGCAACGAGTGATTTGCTTTGTATTGCAAGTCTTAGCAGCCGGCCCTAGAATATGATACCCCAAGGTTCGCCAAAGCTGACAGAAAGATTGTTTGCGATCAATTCGTTGCATTTTTTGAGGTTTCCTGCATGTATAGCGCACATATATGTAGTGATCTTACTATTTTTGTGATATTAGTTCTTCAGATAGGGGACCATATTTCGTATTTGCCACCTTCACATCAATCATTTCCAAGTGCACGTTGATTCAGCTGGCCAAATGAGCTAGGTCTGGGCTCAGGCATTGATTTCATAGCGATTTGGACTACATCTTCAGCTTAGAGCATCTCGACCCATGGAATATCCCTGATAGCAATGAGAGGAGCAGCTCAGAAGAGGATTTTCGATAAGCGCAGACGTGAGCTTAGCAGTGACGCGACTACAGAAGCGATGCTGCCTGTGAAGGAGGCGGAGAAAAGGCACTCATAATGAGAAACTGGCAACAGCTCACCCTACTGCTTCTCTTTCTTTCTGTAGTTAACGGATGTTTCCTCAATTCCTGCCCCTACAGAAGATATGGTCGCACACTACGTTGTTCGCAGTGCGGTAAGCTTTTGTCACTTGAATATGGAAGGCATCTTATAGGAACATGGACGCCCAACATAAGGGCCGAAGTGGTACCTGTCTGGCGTATTTTACTCTTATTAACAACTGCAAAAATTCTTGAATATGAATTACTCAATCGCTCATAGAATCCCTTGAGTCGGGACATGCTTGTATCATATAGTATCTTCAGTACCTCTTGTGCTGAAATGCTTCATCCATTGGTACCAGAAACACCTTCAGTAACTTTCTTTATGTCGGCATGAAAGGTTTCTGTACACTCAGTTTTCCAGGCCAAAATTTCGATTTCCGATTAAAGTCCAAATCAAGGGACTCTTGATAGGTAAGAGTGAAAGTCTCAACAGTGGACTCCTGAATAAAGCAATGCTGCATAGAATTTTGGTAGTAACTAAGTGAAGGAAATTGTGATGCATAGAATTTTGGTAGTAACTAAGTGAAGGAAATTGTACGCTCAAGACGCTTCTGTTAATCAGCTTATTGGTAGCTACTGCATGATTCACGTAGAAATGACTTGACCAAAACGACTTGACCAAAATCAGTCTTTTCAATGTGTTAGCCAGTCGCTGTTGGTATATAACGTCAATGGCGACAGAAATAGCTTCATAGCCTTTCGCTTCGATTAAGAGATTATTATTGCGCGAGGGTGTATTATTGTGAGATACGGATTTTCGTACAAACTCCGAGTCAAGCACGTCACTTTTCCAAGAAGAATTTCGTTAATCACTTTTTGAGGCATCACTTTTTGAGGTGAGAAAACAGCATAGGCACTTCCTAACTATTTCATATTGCTGACATAGCGCTGGAAGAATGAGACCTTGCTGCTATTTCTCGAAATTACGCACACATTAACAAATTTCACTCACACTTTCTTTCCCCATGCATTTGGCCGTTTAGGTCCCGCTGGAGAAGGGCTGTGCCTCAGAAGCGGACAGTGCTGCTCACATACTGATTGTTATGCCAGTGAGGATTGCAATCCAGGCGCAACTTGCCCAGAGAATTTTTGTAGGGTGAGTGCTACAGACTTTTGCCGTTCTACTCGTTAGTTTACTGAAAACAAAATCGTCTCCATTTTTTTCGTTACTCTGTGGAGGTCTTTTTCCTTGTAGCGATTAGACTTATCGCGCCGCTTTCCATTTCGCAGATTGAGGATTATACGCCTGTTCCATTCACTTTATCTGATAACCAACAGCGTTGAATACTTACATGACCAGGAATACCAAAAAATAAAACATTTCATGTATTGAAAATCATTTTTACAGTTCGATGGAGTTCCGGGTATCTGCATATCGAAGCTGCTATGTTGCACAAGTAGTAAGTTCCTCCTAGTTTGTTACCTCAAGTTTTTCGAGAACAGTTACAAAAAGGGACATAGTAATCCAAAAGAGGTAGGGATGCAAAAAAGGTTTAAAAGCTTGGGCTTCTTCCTTTTTTTGTCAACTTTTGTTCTTCACTATAAAAACTATGATCCAATGTATGTAATAATAATGTAATGTAATAATGTCCAACGCTATCCCCTGACCAGAACACCACTCGCATTCCGCCACAGTTGGAAGAACTGTCACCAATCTCAAGACTAGTCCTAGCTTCACAAGAATTCTTGAGACTATCTCTTTGCTAAGAGGGACAGAACAATGAAAATGATAACCGTCAAAGCACACAACCATCAAGAGACTTTTTTAGGTTCTGGTACTTTGCTATATAGGTTCGCATATAATTTGGAGAGCGCCAAGAAAATGTCAAGGAGTTTCCAACTTTTTGAGGATGTCCTCTAAAAGGGCTCATAGTTGCTCCAAATGCACAGCACGAATTTGAAGTCCTAAATTGCTACGTTGGCCGCTTTACAATCAAGATGACCTTTGTGAAAATCGCTAAAGCTACTGTGATCCTCTATGACGTTCTTAGAGTTGTAGTTAAAATCCTCATTTTTGAACAACAGAACTTTCTTCGCAAACGAGTTAAAGGCAATATTTAGTTAGATCCTTAATCTACTAATCTTCTTCATTTTGAATGTCTGTCTAGACTGCTTTAAAGACTTCGAAGATTTAAAAGATGCTTCTTGGCTGCGGAAAGGTGTGGAATGGGCGTGTTTGCCAGTCAGGCCTCCAAAGGGCGTGATTGGCTGGCTGGCGCGGCAAACACTGCATTCACACTGTCCACGATCCATTTTAGCTGTTCAGCACCTCTGCAGGTGTCAGTATTCTACTCGGGTTATGTCTACAAAGCTCAAATGACTGAAAATTCGAATTCGGAGAAAACTTGAACGCTGCCTCTAAAAATTAGAAATGCGTATTTCTGATTTACATCACGACGACAACCGCAAGCATTTACGCCGTAATTCTGCTTTACAATACATCTTAACGGATGACAGTGATTTTGGTTTTTGGACTGAAATTCGGCGGTAGCATCTTCCTACAAATTTGTGTTTTGAGTGGAAGTCAGAATTCCGTTTTCGTACTCAGCAGTAGATTGCAGTCCAACTTTAGGTCATAAAATAATTTCGAAAATTCTGCTAATTAGTAACTTTTTCTTGCGTAAATGTAACTCTACCGAGAGAATTTCTTTCATGTGCATACATGAAGATTAGAATTCAAACAAATCTCTGCCGTAAACAATTATGAACAATTTCATTGCACTACTTTTTCAGGCCAATGTATCAGAAGCATTCAGTGTGCGTAAGGAAGCTCGATAACAACGGAGAAGCAACATGACCAACTATAACTTCCATAAATAAACTCTGTTAACAATATCGGTGTATTGTACATGTATTCATCTGCGATGGACTTGAACAAAGGTTTACCACTGAAAAGATTTGTAAAACAGGATGTTCTCGAGATTACATTCATCTAGTTGTCGCACAAAAGTACACGATGAAGTTCAAAAGAAACTTTACTATCTCATAATTTCTGCAGAGTTGCTTGCTATTATTAATATTCCTTTCAGTATGAAATACTGGAAGATTCGCTAATAAGTACTTGAGAGCTACATTTTTCTCCTACACCATGAATCAGAAGCCCAGACGGATGCTACTGGTCAGGGTTACACCTTTGTTAGAGGCAGCGTCCGGACGAATACTCGACATCCAGTTTTGTCATTATGGGGCCCTTTTTGAGGCCGAGATCCCAAATAAAGTGCAAATCGCGTAAAAACTCTGTTTTGCAGCGTTCTGAGAACCTTATTTTTATAAGCGTGGACGATTATTTCAGCGATAATTCAGAGGGGTTCCACGTGATTAAAGTATCACAGGTAGATACACGGCTTACAGTTGCCGCGTGAAAATGGCAGAAGCAGGGTCGCGTTGGGTCAGACGTATCTGACGTAGGGGGTTGTATTGGGAAATGGATAGGGGGGGGGGGACGCTCATAATCAAGAAACGAATTCTCCAAAATGAGACGATATTACGCTTGGACGCAGTGGGGAACGAAAGCGCTAGATTGATAAATGTCATACCCTCACCGAAATAACTTTACTAATGATTGCAGAGATTGAATACGGTTGTGAGCACCATACCTCAAAACTCTACTATCGATGTTACAACCAATTCTAGAAATTCCAAAAACCTTTGTCTTCATAGGTACACCTATTGTAAGCTACCAAAAAGGCTCCATCATGTGGGATGGGTGTGATATTCGTAATGTCAACTTCTACTAATAAAAACCTTTGCGCTAAGCTACCATTACCATTATCAGCTACCAGCTACCAGCTACTACGCTAAAACTTCCGGTACCTCCTAGTATTTGTTTGATCAAGTTGTTTTCAAAGACGGAAAAGTCAGCTTCATACTCATAACAAAGTAGAAACATTCACTAAATTATGCTAGGAATTTCAATTAAAGAAAAGTGTTTAGAAAAAGTATTCCCGTTTAAAAGTGTTCCCAAAACCGGAACCAACACGTATTCCACATAGAGTGTATTTATTCAGTGGACTACCACAAAATCAATGCTAATCGAAACAAGCCCGTAATCTGCACTTTGAGGTTAAGTAACGGACGAAATTAAATTTGAGCGTATATTGTTTAACTTTTTCTATGCCAAGAAAGGAGGACTTATGAAGTACTTTGAACTTTGAGCCTTTTTGGAGATACAGTTAATGGGGACAAGCTTATCCTCAAAAGGTCAGACTGGAGCTTTTGTAGCCTTGTGCCTGACTCCCTAAACCACCTTCAGACTTCGTAAGTCTTGACGTGTGTCTCACCCTTGCTCAACCTCGAGCGCAACGTGTAAGTGCGTCCGCGCAGGTGTGAGGGAGCAGAAAGAAGTCAGAGGAGCCCTCTCAATACCGTATTTTGGACTTTCAAATTCGTATTTTGAAAGCAGACTTGATGATTTGCAGTCGAGGAAGTTCCTATTCGACTGTACCAACGTCTCATTGTTAGATAAGTCGATTTGGACAGGGCGCTGCCTTAAAGGCAGTGTCCGGGCAAGAACTCGATTTTGAGATTTTGTGCTTACCCGGGCCTATTCGCCATGCTGAATCCGAAAATCCACATTGGAAAGCGCGAAAACGACGAAAAAGGACTCTAACACTGGAGGGAAATAAGCAAGTGGGCGGGGTCTTCCCCACTGTGAATTCACGCTTCCAGCTTCCAGAGCAATTTTCTCGAATCTGTTAGCTGCCCTGACATCACTACCGATCAAGCGCAAACGAATGGCTTGAAACCGGAATCAAAAAGATTGCCCCCGAAGTTGGGAGCGTGTATTTCACAGTGGGGAAGACCCCGCCCACTTGCTGATTTCCCTCCAGTGTTATAGTCCTTTTTCGTCGTTTTCGCGCTTTCCAATGTGGATTTTCGGATTCACCACAGCGAATAGGCCCGGGTAAGCACAAAATCTCAAAATCGAGTTTTTGCCCGGACACTGCCTTTAAAGGCAGCGTCTCGGCAGAATGAACCTACCTCAGATTTTGACACAGATGGATAGGAGGCCGTCCAAGTGAACCAAAGCAGCAACTCCGAGCCGAAAATGTGAACTCAGGGGAGCGGCCAGTATGTTCTTCGCTACAAAACGCGCCGTCACTCGTAGCTTCGTAGGGCAGAATTATTCTAGCGCTCTCTACCTCCTTACTCTGCGTCTCTGACGGCAGAGAAAAACTGCTCACTCGTCCACGCCCGTATCAAGGGGGGTTTCAAAAGACGGGGTTTTCCCCATTTTCGCGCTAGGGGGAGTTCATGTCGTGATTCAGGGGGCCGGAATAGCCCCAAATCGACACAACCCCGAAGTGTAAATCTGCCGAGCCGCTGCCTTTAAGTTAGTGCTTTTAGTTAAAAAGTAGTTAGAAACAATAGTTAGAAACAATTAGTAATAGTAGTAGTTAGTAGTAGTAGTTAGTAGTTAGTAGTTTAGTTAGAGTTTGTAGTTAGTTTAGTTAGTTTACAGTTAGTAGTTTATATTTAGAAACATTACCGCACATGGAGATGAGCTTGATTTATATATTTCACTATGTCAAAAGCCATTCTAGAAAGAATTCGCTTATGGTTCTCGAATTGAGACTGTCTACCTATGCACATGCAATCACCTTGCTCTTTGCTCCACAAGGGTACTCTATCTACTTCTCAAGAAGCTCTTGGTTCAGACTTGAGGATGTCGGTAATGTTTCTTCTTCTTTCTTCCCGAATTCCAAATCATGGTTTTGTTTTTTCGAAAGCCTTTTCTCCCACCAGAACTTGTTTGAAGTCTTACAAATTCCACCGGTCGTAGGAGCTCACTGCTTGCACACTGTTTTATACTTGAGCATTTCACTCATGGGATTGGCATTGCTTTTAGTGAAATTTTTGCTTTGGTATGGGTACCAGAGTGGCAACCTTTCACCAGGGGAAAGCAAGCCCAACGAAGTGATATTATAGGCTTATTTTGATGTACAATATTATATAGATTTGGAAGTCACATCTAAAACCCGGATTTCCTTCTTAGCACAAAGTTTATCTGAATGACGCTAAGTCCCATTTATATACTCAAATACGGTTATCTACATGAGTACAGCAAACTCTCCTCGTGCTCGCAGACACCAACTTGTACTATATCCATAAGAGTATGTACAAATCACAAAATCTTGGGAAAATCATGTGTATAAATAGAGCTGGATGTCCGTTTACCTGTATTATGTATTATCTGTATTATCTCTGTGCGTAGGTATGTTCCGAATAGAAAGTTCCACTTCCGAACCGATCCGGACCAAACTTGGCACACATACACTTCGCGGGCGGGGCGAGTATCGTAGGCTACTTTTCGCCATCGCTCGATATCATTTTATCGTTTTTTTTTGCAAAGTTCAACTTATGAGGCTGGGAGTTGGTATAGGGAGTGGGAGGGGGTATGTGAGCATGCCGAATACGACAATATTATTGACAGGAGGAGCCGGTGTCAGCTTTTTAATATGATTCGTAGAAATTTGCTACCAGCCTACCAGTTCTCATGCACAGTGTTTTACTACTGCACTGTTTCCTAACTATGGTGCGAGTAACGAGAAGCGTCCCTGTTCATTTTCTTGTCCAGTGGCGCTGTCTGCTCTTTTTTCCGCATATGGAGTCTACTGATGAATTTGCTTATAGGAGCTTATGTGAAAAAATGTATGCTCTCAACGTTCACAAACTTCTCAAACACGAATACATTAAATTGAACATATACGAGTTTCCGCATTTGTGTACACAGTTAGAGACATGCTATCAGGTAGCATACCTGATAAAATGAGCACTACTTACATTTTCGTTACAAAAACCTATGACACTTCTCTACTCTCAGAATAGGAAGTTGAGCTACACTTTCTCCATGTATAATGACCGTATCCAAATGGCTTCAGCTGTGCGATGGACACTCTGCGTTCCAATCCCGTTATTAGCGCGTAATCCATCCGCATTCGGTTCCACCGTCTCAGAATAGATGAGAACCCACAGAGCTTGCTACGCTCATTAGCATCGAGTGAGAACAATTTTCGTACAAAAGTGATCCTCGCGTTTATGTATATACCATTTTTCTTCTACCAACGATAAGGGAAGTACCGCGCGGGGTCTGGGGCGGTGTTTACTGTGAACGAAGACAGGTGACCAAAACATTGGTAGTACATTTATTTATTCCATTCAATCTCTTTGGAGCTAAAACACTTGCCAAGAACTGAATATCGAAACCAATATACGATTGCTGTAGACCATGATATTGACTTCAAACTGCGATTACCGTAGCCCTTGCCTATGACGCCTATGACACCAAAGATCAAAACAAATGTCATTTTTGTCATCAGCACCTCAAATAACCCCCTAGACGAATTTCTAAAGACGTTTTCTATATTCCCTTTCGAAAACACAACTAAGCAGAACATATACGACAAGCTTTGGGTCTTAAGCTCAGAAATCAAATAACGACGCGGTCATGGACTTCTAGGCTAGACAGACGAGGAGACGAAACAGATGAACTACTGTACTCAAGGAAAATTATTGTTTTTTGTTGTAGACTGCAACTGCTCACTCAAAACTTTGAGAAATTCAAAAAAGGAAAAAGACTATAGCTACAAGTTAGCTAGCTGCAGCAAATCTGGCATCTTCTCTAAGATAGTCTTAGCTATCCTAGAACATGTAAACATTCTTGGTCGAGTTTAGTCGAGTCTGAACCATAAATCCTTGAAATTTTTCACCAAAGTTAAACACAGTTCTGCAATACGTGCAAGCGTTTATATAAAGCGTACGTTTTGCCGCACCTCGAATACTGTTCTGTGATATGGAATCCTTTTTCAGAAAAAGACATTTTGAGGTTAGAAAAAGTTCAACAAACATTTACTAGCATTTTGTTTCTGAGATGTCGCAAAAGATTAGCTTTTGACGAAATGCCTAAATATGAAGAACCGTCAAGTTCTTGGCAATGAAGAGTCTGGAATTTAGACGAACTTATCTAGATCTTATTTTCGCTTTTCGCCTCCTTCGTAAGGAAATTAGGCTTAGCGCAAGTAAGTGATTCTCAGAAGTAGGACGGGTGGGTTTAACAATCATTACCCACGTATTTATAGGAAACGCTTTCTGCGAACATTTAATACTCTTTTTTACAGAACACCTAGATGGCTTAGCAGGCTTCCACCTTCGACGTTATCATCTGTTGGATCAGCTGCTTTTAAACGTAGAATAGCGCAAGTTGACCTATTACAAGTTAAGGGTTTTCATAACTACAGGAAACCTTTTTCTCTTCCCCGTTCTTTCAGGAATGTCGCGTCCCTTTTTTCTGTCGTGCTCCAACACGGCACATAATTCCACATAGTTTTTTGTTTGTTTGTAAAATGTAGTGGTACTGACATTTGGTATATCATTATTTACGTTTTAGTTTTTTCTTTTGTTCCTGTCACTAACCCCGATTTTCTGGCCGACCACCCCCGCTAGGTTCGTCGTCCTGAAATTGACTTGAGAGTCTTCTTGGGGAACTTGACGTTTATGGACCACATGTACTCCAGGTCTGAGGGAAATTGCTTCATACATACATACATACATACATACGCGTCTGGCCTTTCCCCTGCTACTGTACTAGGTGTGTGGTCGACTGGTTATCTGCTATATTTTCGCTCTTTTTTGGCGCACTTCTAAGTGCATTTAAATAAATAAATAAATAAATACACGTCTCACTAAGACAGATTGAGTGAACACACACTTCCCCTTCCTAACATTATAGGATCGCTTACAAGTCATCAAAGTACGATGAACATGAGAAGTCATTGCTAAGATGTCCATGTGGGTGTAGCCTTCACTGCCTTCAGAATCTTGAATTCAGCATAAGACATTTGCTCCTCTCTCTATCCTATGAGTTCACCAACATCGTATAGCTTACAAGACTGTAAATGTCTTCATTAAATAGTCTAGAATGCGGTGTTGATACGAAGGCGTTAGTCGAATATTTATTGTAATGACATGCAAAAATTTCATTCGAAGCACTTTAGCTGTGTGGATATGAGTCGAATTAACCAGTATAAGCGGCTTGCAACAGACATGCAGCGCATTTATATCGAATCGAAGGAAGAGCAGACAAGCCAGGTCTTGTGTCAAGCCATCAACAGCTTAACATCGAGTGAATTTACCAATACAAACCCTTAAACTAAGGCTTCCTACTGTTCAAACAATTCGACAGCGCAGTCGGCTTACAGAGTGTGCAACAATCAGGTAACGTCGCCTCATCCTCAGTGCATTCATCTCTCCGGACTATTCAGACAAATGATAAATGTCTGAGAATGACATGACTACCTCATAGCAAACAAATGTGATCACACAGAGACAAACAGAAGTGAGAAATCATAAATGAGCACTGGTAGGAGGACAAAGTAAGCAGTTCTCGCGGAAGTGGATTCTTCAGACATTAATTTGACTATGTTTATTAAAGTTTGGAGCTAAGAAAAATGTTAGATTTATGTCTGACTAGAAGTCAAAATGGGTGTCAAATTGGGAAGCCAATTCAGCAATAACGAATCCAGCTTTTGTTAGTTGAACCTACTTTCACATCGGGATAACACGTAAAGTTGTAAGTAGCGCCAAGAAATCGCAGTTCTTGGTATCTAATATAACGATTTCACTGCGTCTATGCTATGATACCGACGCCTAGCAAAAAGCCAATAAAATCTATTAACTCCGTTTGAACGATACGGAAAGACTGCGAATTGAATTGAGAATAAAAAAGTGGAATGTTTTCCATAAGGCAGAGCTGTACCAAAGACTGCTGTGACTGGCGGCTTCTTGGTTACAAAGAATGTGATACAAAATTCGATGCATAATTGAAAAATCTCAAAGAAAGCACCTTATACAGAATGGCATACGGCCCGTTATTACAAACAATAACTGAAATACAGTAGTCGACCCAATTGTATTGTTTTACCCACTAGTGTTTGGTTTCACCAAATCCGATTGCTGCAGCACCCACTGCTCTACTCGGGCGTTTTTCTGGTCAACATTGGAGCAGCCCCGTCGTTTGTTCTTCGTCCGATGTGCTATCGGTGGTGCTGACGATGTGTTCGCTCGATGCTCGTTCCTCGCTCGCTCTATCGATGAGCTTTTGGCTCTGAACGCAGGCTTCTCATCGGGAGTAGAAACCTTAACATCGCTGTGCTCCCTTTTTCGAAAACTTGGACTAAGGTCCAGATGAGCCAGATACAATACCGCTCACAGAATGTGCAAAATTTCCGTGAATGTCGCAGAATTCCAGGAATTCCGCGAAGTTTCGCGAAATATCGGGAATTTCGCGACATTCCTGGAATTCCGCGAAATTCCGGAAATTTCGCGAAATTCATGTGAATCACGCAAATTACGCAGGGCCATAACTTCTTTCCGAATGAGTATATTCGAAATCCGAAAACAGCATTGTATTCAGGTCTTCAAGGCGAATCTTTCGGTATACAGCTTGCCCTTGAAATTCCGTTTCCAATTTTTTCAAAATTTTCTGCGCTCGTATATTCACAAGGTCGCAACGCAGCGCACATCAAACATAAAAGACTCCAATAAGCACTGTTGGATTGCGCTGCTTTCGCAGATTATCGAGCGCTAAGAAGCAACCGGAGAATTTTCTTGAAAAAAGATAGAATAGCTGGTGAATTTTGGAAAAATCGCGTTGTCTCAACTTTTGCCCACCGTGACCCTAAAATGAGAAGCTCTACTGCTAAGCAGATGCGATTTTCGTAATCAGCAGGTCAGATAACCTCTATGAGCAAGTTTTCAAGGAAATTCGGATGATTTGATTTTTTCTCGTTCTACGCCCTGAATGCTCGCCGATGGGTTTTGGTCAAAATGTCGATGATTTCGGATTGTAACTTCGCTCAGAGAGGTTTTCGAACACGCTGTTTACGATAATCGTCTTTTGCGCGGAGTACAGAGTTTTCTAGCAGAGATATGGTGAGGGAACTTTAGCTAAGCCACGCAAGTTCGTAGATTCGCCTGCATTTTTCGAGCACCTCTTAGAAAATCTTCTTGCTTGCCTTTGCGGGTTAAATTCACTAGAAAGCATGCTATTCAACGGTGCATGCATCCGGCTTCAATCTGTAGCAGTCGCCAAGTTACGGGCCTACGAAATCACGTCCTCGTGAGTTTTGCCCAAAATGTAAAGATCGCCTCTTCACAGAAATTCGACCTAAGTGACTGTAAGACACTGTGGTCACCAATTTTGTGTTCACTTCGCTTAAAGAATCTATCCTTCTGTACTGGAAGTAATTAAATAAATCTGAGCTCTAGCCACGAATCCGCTTTGATATTCACCTAAGGGCTCAGCCACACAACCACCAGATCCAATGCAATAAGATCTCAAGGATCTTTCGAGTTGAACATAAAATTCGCGAAGTGTCTTACAGTCACTTAGGTCGAATTTCTACGAAGAGGCGATCTTTACATTTTGGGCAAAACTGATGAGGACGTGATTTCGTAGGCCCCTAACTCGGCGACTGCTACAGATTGAAGCCGGATGCATGCACCGTTAAATAACACGCTTTCCAGTGAATTTAACGTGCAAAGGCAAGCAAGCAGATTTTCTAAGAGGTACTCGAAAAATGCAGGCGAATCTACGAACTTGCGTGGCTTAGCTAATCCCTCACCATATCTCTGCTAGAAAACTCCGTACTCCGCACAAAAGACGATTATCGTAAACAGCGTGTTCGAAAACCTCTTTGAGCAAAGTTTCCTTACAATCCGAGATCATCGACATTTTGACCAAAACCCATCGGCGAGCTTCAGGGCGTAGAACGAGAAAAAATCAAATCATCCGAATTTCCTTGAAAACTTGCTCATAGAGGTTATCTGACCTGCTGATTACGAAAATCACATCTGCTTAGCAGTAGAGCTTCTCATTTTAGGGTCACGGTGGGCAAAATTTGAGACAACGCGATTTTTCCAGAATTCACCAGCTATTCTATCTTTTTTCAAGAAAATTCTCCGGTTGCTTTTTAGCGCTCGATAATCTGCGAAAGCAGCGCAATCCAACAGTGCTTATTGGAGTCTTTTATGTTTGATGTGCGCTGCGTTGCGACCTTGTGAATATACGAGCGCAGAAAATTTTGAAAAAATTGGAAACGGAATTTCAAGGGCAAGCTGTATACCGAAAGATTCGCCTTGAAGACCTGAATACAATGCTGCTTTTGGATTTTGATGATGTTCATTCTGAAGGAAGTTACGGCTAGTAGAACTTGGAACAGCTTGATTTTTCCAGAGTTTATCAGCTCTTCTATCTCTTTCGAAAGAGAGTCCTCGGCTGCTGTTTAGCGCACGATAATCTATTAAAAGAGTACTATCGAACGGTGCCCAAGGCAGTCTCCTATGTGTTACGCTCGTTGCGTGACCACCATGCGAGGGGCGTCCGCGTGCAAATTCAAGATTATCGAAAACAAGGTATTGGACACAAACTGTATACCAAAAGATTCGCCTTGATGAGCTGAATACAATGCTGTTTTCGGATTTCGAATATACTCATTCGGAAAGAAGTTATGGCCCCTGCGTAATTTGCGTGATTCACATGAATTTCGCGAAATTTCCGGAATTTCGCGGAATTCCAGGAATGTCGCGAAATTCCCGATATTTCGCGAAACTTCGCGGAATTCCTGGAATTCTGCGACATTCACGGAAATTTTGCACATTCTGTGAGCGGTACTGTATATGTTGTCTCAGTAACAGAGTCACGATTTCAGCGGTTTGGGTCGTTCGAGCATTGCATCGCGTGCATGAACGTTATTCGGGGCTTTTCCCAAGTCCGTCAGCCTTCATTCGCGGCTCAAACCTGGGAAAATGCCCGGATGATAGGTACGCGAATGCGGTGCACAACCTGCGCGAGGCGGCCGCAAAGACCCGAATCGCTGAATCTGTGACACTGTCCTCGAAACAGCCTATATAGCTTATCCTCACCACATCGTGTTCCGAAATCTGAGCTTCTTGACTTCTGCTCATCGCACGGATTGCGGTCCTGACACGATGTCTCTCACGTTTTCTGTGCCTTTCGTTCCTCCGCGCTTCCCTCTCTAGAAGCAATCGCTGATGGTCGATTTGCCTTGCGAGGACGTTTGTGAGACACACAGAAACACACTGCAATCGCTACAGTTTCGCATAGTCATGTCTAGCAAAAAAACTAACAGTAAGAATCATGAACTTACCACCGGTACGATTACAAGGGCTACTGCTGCGCAAATGTGGATGGAATGTGACTGAAATACGCTCCGCAATGGCTGCAAGCAACCTCTAGTGTAGATGTCATACTCGAGTTCTTGCGGTCGTTTATTCAACGCATTCTGCCAACATTCGAGCGAACGCATAGCCGGAAGCAGCGGATTCGACGAACCCGCCTGCAAGAGAAATTGTAATTATTAGGTTGGTCCGAAAGTTCGTTCGCACCATTTTCAAAAAATCGTAACTTCCTTCTCTTACAAAGATTTTGCGCAACTCAAATTTTTTCTGAAAGCGTAAAGCATGTAGTTTCCAATAGTCCTCTGGCGACTTTCCAGCGTGTTCAGATTGCAGAGATAAAAATGAAAGAACGAGAACATCCGAAATTCGGAATTTTTGAGAAAAAATTCTAAAAATTTAGAAACTGCGCGATAAAATCCAGAAAAGCCATTATCCTAATTTTTCTTATATTCGATTACTAACTGAATTAAGTTTGTGCTGATCGAGCCCTTCTTTTAGTTATGAATTTTTGAAAAAAAAAATGCCGAAAAATCGATTTCTTAGGAATCCTTAGGAAAATGATTTTTCGGCATTTTTTTTTTCAAAAATTCATAACTTTTGAAAGAAGAGCTCGATCAGCACAAACTTAACTCACTCAGTAATCAAATATAAGAAAAATTAGGTTAATGGCTTTTCTGGATTTTATCGCGCAGTTTCTAGATTTTTAGAATTTTTTCTCAAAAATTACGAATTTCGGATGTTCTCGTTCTTTCATTTTTATCTCTGCAATCTGAACATGCTGGAAAGTCGCCAGAGGACTGTTGGAAACTACATGTTTTACGCTTTCTAATAAAAATTTAAGGGCGCAAAATCGTTGTGAAGGAAAGAAGTTATGATTTTTTGAAAATGGTGCGAACGAACTTTCGGACCAACCTAGTAGATAACATGCAAGACTGAGAAAGGGAAGAAAACAATTTTTTAGCAGCTGCACATCACTCAAACAACGATGCTGACTAGAATAAAATCCGACTAGAGTTTCAAGCAAGTTTGAAATGCGTACGGTTATATTTTGGGCTGAGATATTTTCGGGCGGAGCTTTTCACATTTGTCTTTAATTTTAGATCAAACTTGTTGGGCTCTTTCCATATTACCATGTAAATCTGCTTTGCTCTACCCAATAGTATCCCATCCAATAGTATCTCATTAACTTTTTTTGTTGTTTATCCTGCTCCAATAGCACATTATGATATGAGAGATTTTTTCTTTCCCACCTAATAAATACCAAATTACAAATGTCTCAAAGTGGTCAATGCAGAGTTCTTAAGAACATGCGAGATGATGTGTTTAATGAGTTTCCTCCAAATTTGACAGGGATATCAACAAACACAGCTAAAGAAATGATGTCGCAGTAAGATAAGGCCGAGCGGTATCCTTTGATTCAACTGGCTTGGCGGCTGGAAGGGGGGAGGGGGGGGGGGGGGTTCGTGACCCAATTGAGGCTAGGGGGTGGAGGACATTAGGTCGCCGAATTTGGAAGGGTCCCGCGCGGATTTCTTGCAGGAAGGCATGTCCGCGCATGTAGAAGGGTGCGTATTTGTCGCAAATGAGCGGGACCGCCCTTATTTGGCGACCTGATGTCCTCCACCCAAAGCTAGGTAGTGATCGGAGAGCACGCGCGCGGGAGTGACGCAGGCTGCGTCGCGGTCGCGAGCGGCCTTAATTAGTCACAGAGCCCCGCCTTCCAGCCGCCAAGCTAGTTGAATCAAGGTTCTACAAAACTCCGTGCACCCCTCGTCAAAATTAATGCAAAGATGAATGGTAAATTTTATGACGATTCAGTGCTGCGGAGATGTCAAACTGATGAATTACGCTCACGAATGCACGGATGATGGAGTGTGATTTGACACGCACATGCAGCGAAAAGTGTGTGGTAAAAAGTTGTGCATATGGTAAAGTAGAGAACTTTGGATAAGAACTAAACCTGCTTCTTCTCGGCAATTTGTACTTCATAGGTCACACAATTTTCTCTGTCACCACAAGAATATTCTCCTCACGTTACGGCTCAGTCAGCAGGTCACATATAATAGAAAGTCACTTTCAATCACTTCTTGGGGGTTTCCGAAAACATATTTGCTCTCATAGACTTTTTGCCACTGTTCATTCAGGAAAAATATGAAATATCCTGATACATTGCTCTATATTACCATTTATAAGATAGCAGGGCAAAAATGCCAAGAAATAGCGCGCGGATAGATTCGAAACAAGAGCGAATGAAGGGTGAAGGTGTCAAAAAAGATTAGTAGTCCTAACTTATAGGCCATGTATAAAAATACTAACCGCTTCTGAGATTACTGATTTTCTGCAGCAAGAAAACGGAACTCCACACTTCTCCGGTTGTGGGTTATAAGTGCTGCAGTTATACTGGTAACTAAGGTTCCAATCGCGATATCCTTGAGCGGCCGACGAAACGCCACAGCACTCCAACTGAAAATAGCATTTCACATAGATTCACAGTAGGCCTGCGAATGGACAAAACAAACATTTTCTTGCAGCGAATCGACAATTTCAGCGATATTTCGATTGGTGTGGTAATTCCTGATAGCATACATGAGTACTGTTTGAGCGGAAAACCCCTCTGTGGTGTCGGAATAGAAGAGTATGAATAGAACGCATGTAGCTACGACGATCACTATATAGCAGAAGAAGACACAGATGGCAAACTGAAAGTGGACAATTGAAAGCTGTTTTTTGCTATGCGACTGCTAGAGACCCACAGTTTTGAGAAGAAAAATATTGTCTCGCAAGGCACCAACGGATCCTATCAACGACACCACACTTATTGAACAGCCTGAATACACAATAGATTTGGAGGTAGACTTCGCAATGTGATTCATTGCTACAGTGAAACTTTTTCTCACCACAGCCCCTTCATGTGTCGAATATGCTTAGCAGACAATACAGGATGTCACAAAAATATTTATGCATTCTTTGATCATTAACATCTCTCTTCCCACAAAGTCTTCTGCCGATCTCTAGGCACCATTCTATAGAGCTGGCTCAACTTAGATTTACAATACAGAGCGTAACACTGACCACTCTCTATGCTGCAGAATTACGGTAGGAACTTCCAGCATACAGCGCCGTTGTGATTAGCTGCAGTTACAAAAAAATTTTTAAAATCCAACTGCTTGTGCTGCCGGGTTCTCAAGCACGTTGATTTCATTTGGAGTTTAGCAGCTTGAGAAGTCTTTCAAATGGTGCAATCAGGAATTCGCGCATATTGACGGATCAGTTGCTATTATACTTGACCTAGCTTATAAATGAAGTGTTATGGTAAAGGTGACCTTCATAATTATAATTATTCTGATTAGATTCTAGGAGCCTCAGATCTGAGGAGGTGTGGTTAGCTTTTTGAGCTAATACGAAGCTGTCAATTGCTAAAAACACTTCAAAGTCCTTATCGTACTCCCGCAGTAAGGAGAGGCGATCGATGGTTTGCTGCATACTGTAGATTTAAGCTGAAGCCAGCTCTGTACAATGCCAGCTAGATATGGGCAGAAGACTTTGTGAAAAGGGTCATATTAACGATCAATCCGTGCATACATACTTTTGGGACGCTCTGTATATGGGCCATCAAAACACGCAGAGAAAGGGCGCCATCGCGAGGCTTTGGCATTTTCCAGACCAAACGCGCCTTCATCCGTCAAGCGTCTGCTGTCTCTGTCAAACTCGAACTATCTTGATAAGACGCAACGTCGTCCAGTCTCTGCGTGCGATGATTTGCCTTTACTTTGAGTGGAAGAATGGCATGTGCACGTTCTTAAACCAACAACTGTGAGCAGTTCGACAAGTAATGCTTTTGCAATAAAATTACCTTAGCATTGACGGTTTCCGACCAGCTAACTTTTCTGCAACCACTGCATGGTATAATGCGAGCAAGAGCGATGTTTACATGCACTTGCGGTTCTTTGCAGACCTTTTCTAAGCTTTGGTGCACTTTTTCACGTTATCGGATGAAAGAAACACACAAAAAATGAAATATGTTCTCAAAGAAAATATGCTTTTCTTTCACCACCTAGATAAATCATGCTCCATAACACCCTAGTTCTAATCATGTTGTACAGACAGTATGATTCGTAACAGTTACAAATGAAGGCCCAACACACTTAGTCGACCTTCTTTTTAGATCCTTCCCCATCATTGCATGATGGCTTAACGTAAGGAAAAACTCTCACCTATGACACTAAGTAGGATGGCAGGATTCAGAACAATGTCAATGAGTTTCACGTCAACGAAATCCTTGATAAAGAGGTAAACACCGAGCGCGAAAATTCCAACACCGGATAGCTGAAAATAGAACATATAGCTCATTCATGCATTTGCGTCGCATAATCATAATAGAAGACGCAGTTACTTCTTTGTTTTGAAAAAAAGCCAAGAAAATGTACAATGATAAAAGTGTTCGAGAAAACTTACACTTCAAGTTTCAGATTTTACAAGCAAGCTTTGGGTTTCAAAGAAATTCCGGACAAGCTTCTTCAAGTTATGATGCCACGACCCTTTTTTTCCTTTGGAGACACAAGTACTACTCTTCTATGTGCCCCTACTTGAGCACCAAATTTATTGCCTGCGCAAATGCAAGCGCATTTCGCTCTGCTCTCGCAACATGACACATTCAAATTATTTTCTATAAGAGGAGGGGTGGATCCGTTCTATGTCTCGAATGCAGAAATTAAAAGTGAGTGCCTGGTCGTACCAGGACAATCAACAGCCGAATGGCCTCCAAAGAGACATTGCCGCCTAGGGCTTGCGATGGCAGGTGCTTGGCAGTTGACCTATACTTTTCTTAGTGAACTTGCACAAGAGAAGTGGTAAAAAAAAAAAGAAAATAGTCTCTAAATATGTAAAATTCTTTGAGATATTCTATGTTGTGATATCCAGGCGAGCATTACACAAGCTTAAAGCATTTTTGTTGTGTTGGTACATGAGAATCGCACTTAAATGAAAATCAATCACTTTTACCGTTTGTGTAAGATTGTTTGAATTGCTATGCATTGAATAGAAAAAGATTTTCTTTTCATTATTGCTTGGCAAGAAGGAGCATCATGTCGCCACAATAGAAGCTGATCAGGAGAACCACAGAAAAGTGTCCTTGGAATTTTAGTCGCTAATATTGCTAAAAAAAAACTGTTAAAATCTGACAAGTTTTATAACTGTTTCTTTCCAACTAAAAAAATCTCCTGCTGACTGGGCACTATGAAAAGTTGTGATTTTGGATTTTTAAGTCATCTTTCTAACTTTGATATAAAAGAAAATTAATATGTAAATGATAATACAAAATCTGGGATATGTAACAAGAAAATCATGATGTGATTAACAAAAGTCATTTGAACATTTGCAGCAGATTTAATTTTTGGTGCAAGACTTACGTACCTTACTAAAATTTAGAAAGAAAGAATCAGTTTCTGCGCTTTTTCGCCGTGGCACCAGCAGTTGTAAACGAAAAAACAAAGCAGGAAAAGCGACTTCACTAGTTATATAGGTCTTATAAATAAGCACCATGTCTGCATCTATGTTAGTGCATTAAATAAAAGATTTTTATTGTAGACCCTACCGGACTAAACTTTGCACTCACGATTCGGGATGGAGGCGGTGTCGCGGGCTACTTTTCGCAATCGATCTTATCGACTTATTGATTTTCAGCAAACTTTAAGATAAGAGTTGGGATTTGGTACTTGGGAACAGGGTTCGGCAAGAGGTGGCTAGATGAAAATGCAAAAAACGAAGTCCCCCTTGACTTTTACGAAATTTTACGAAGTCCCCTTTGACCCTAGACCATAATCCCTAAAAAATCTCCAAAAAACGAAACTTCGATTCAAAAAAAAACGTCGCAATCTGTGTCTTTTCGGCCACAAAAACGAAAACCCCTTTGCTATTTGCCCTAACGATACCCAGCTTGCTTAGAAGCCACCTGTGCTGAGCCCTACTTGGGAAGGGGGCAAGTGAGCATGCTGATTACGAAAACACAATAGAACAAAGAAATCTCATATGTAAGTTAATACATAGATTCTGCATTAAAGATTTTCAAAAACTCATAACATTTTCCAACCACACGGTAGCCTGACTCGATACAGTGAATAAAAAAATTGTATTCTTTCCATTACCGCTTGAAAAAAATTTATGGTATATCGCGCGATACAAGCTGGACAACACTCAAAAAGTGTTGCTATTTCGATCGTTGAAATAGCTAGGACTTTTGGTAAAATCTTAGTTTTGCTTATAGTTTCACAACCTGGGGCGGTATGCATCAATCTCCCGTTTTGAAAGCGGACGATCATTTTCAATAGAAAATGATCGCCCGGCCGGGTTGGGCGCCCGACCTGTGATGTATGATCGAAATTGATGCCCGCTTTCAAAACGGGAGATTGATGCATACCGCACCTGCTCTTTATTCGCTAATCGAGCTTTTTACTAAGTTCATATTTTGATTTTAATCGGATAAAGTGACTAAATGTGTAATAAAATATGTCAGTTAGTATGTCTTACAAAAGTTCAACACTTCCGGAAAAATACTATAATATGAATAATACAAATATTCTGAAAACGACGGTGGGACAGGGACAAGGAAATATGTGTAGTAAGAAGTGAGTTTCATCATGGTAGGTCGACAGGGACGATTAAGAGCTAGGTATGTCAGCTAGTCGTCCAAAAAGAGTTAAGGCCTACTCTTGTCTGCACACTTTCTGTTTAGCACGCGTTCCCTTTGCATCAAACTTGTCCAACTCTCATATTCTTTCTATACGCATTTGCAACTCACAAAAACGAAGAAATTCGTCAAGAAAATGATCCACTTGAGGACGGCCGAAATCTCTTGACGCGGTTTTCGCTTTGCGGTGTGGGCAGGCGTCGCGATTTCTGCCATCAGGCAAGATCGCTCCCTATCGGAGTAACACCGTCCGTGCCTGAACGACATACATTTGAACACAAAACCAGAACTTTTTCAGATAAATGCTAGAGATACAACATAGGATCAATGAAAATCACAGGAGATCATCAATAAATATGCGACGAAATTTTTGGAGAAGCAAAGAATGCACAGAGAGAAGTGAACAGGCTGGTGGGAAGGATGTTCTGGATCCGGGTGAGCGATCACTCTATGTTAGTTTGAAGAGGAAGTAGGATTCAGACTTTATTGAGGACATCGCGCCTCATTTTTCGAGTGTTCTTTGGAGATTCCTAGAAGTGAATAATGTAGACATACGGCGGCGCTAGGAATATGGAAGTATGTGGTCAACTGTAACATACAGCCGTGTGAAAGTAGATTTTATAGCAAAACAGCTAGAAATACTTAAGTGGGCACAATTGGGGCAGAAGAAGGGCATTTTACTTGTTATTAATGCGATAGATGTTATTAGATAAGAGGGGTACAAGTATCAAAGTAGTTATGTTGGGTCATCGATCTAAATCACGGCAAAAAAAGCCTAAATTCTCCTAATTCCCCCTCCCCCTCTCTCACCTCCCACAAGTTCTCATCTGCATTTTCCAAGCAGAAAATTCCTAACTTTATCCCGACAGATTTGTATTCAGCAGGCATAAGCGCACGCACAGACAATTTGAGTGCGACTAGCCGCAAGACCGGTTCCACTGATCTGATCCTGGAAGAGAGAACGTTCGAATCGCAAAGATGATCGGAACCTAAAAAGGCAGAAGAACTGCATCGCTCCCACTCACACACAACACCGCTCGCCATACGTAATTACGAGCGCAAGTGAATTAACGCCGAACGGCTGATTGCGCGTCGCTACGGACCTGAGAAATCATGCAAATTTCCGAACTCAGCGTCCTTCGTCGGGCCATCGATAAGTGTTGGGCAAAGGAATTTCGCATGTACATCTCCTTGAAGTTCACAACGACGTATGACTCCTACGTCCCTACTCTGGTTTCCGGAAAATTTGTCCGAACACTCAAAAAAGATCCTGCAAAAAACCAACAGCGGTAACGTTGTATGTAGTGTACCAACAAGCAATTACTAGCCCCGTATCCTGATTTTCCGGTCTCATAATGAAAGGTGACAAGTTGCTAGATGCAAGGGCCTTTTTTTCAAATATCAGTGCAAAAATCCGATATCCGCATTGCAAAATGTTAACTGGTTACACCGCAACAACGTGATAGTAAGTGAAGAGATACCACCAGCGTTGACTGTTTTGAGTTTCGCGACATATTCTATGGAATTAGTTGAGAGCAATTTTCTAAACGGAGGATAGTTAAATGGGGGACAATATGTTGCCGATAGGCTCCACCCGCGCGGACCGCTGGCATGAGGAATAATGTGAAGACGCGTATGTTTGTTGCCGATGCCTTTGCGCGACCTCCCTATCGGCAACATAATGTCTTCTACGCTTACAAGGGAATGGTCAGATATCGAAGTGGCTAATCCAGATAAGCTGCATACCGTTAGATGCAGCATGAAACGCTGACTTTAAATCTGTCTTCTTTGTCTGCTTATCGCTTTTCTGGACGAAGCTATAAGCCATTAAAAGCCAATATTTTGTTCAGAAATTATGCGCGAAAGTGAAAATTTGGCCGTACAGAGCCACGTTCGGTTTAAGGCCGGGCCAAAACATGCAGCTAACTTACTTCAAATTCTCAAAGCCTAAAGCTGAGCTGAAATTGCAACAATGTGCTCAATTTCACAGTTCCTATTATATTTACGATTTTTCCACAATAAAACTACTTGTAGCTTTCTACACAGAAGCGATTAGCAGATAAGGAAGACAGATTCGAAGTCAGCGTTTCATACTGCATCGAACGGTATACAGATTGTTTGGTTTGGCCACTTCGACTTCTGACCGTTCCCTTGTTAGGCCTATTTAGTGCTGGTTACTATTACAAATAAATAATTACAGCCTGTGTCAATCGCATAACCCTTCTTTTATCGACACAATCGCATTGCAGAACTTCGCGTCACGCTCGCGCGCGAACGGCTTTGGCAGCCAAAGTGGTCTTATGGACCGAAGACCCCGCACACATGGCCCCACGTTGAGGATTCGCAGTCGTAATGGAAACAAATTGTATTTTTGACAGTATAAATAGAAAGTTATATTCTAGGTTATTCTAGATAAGAGTTTCCAGCTTTAGGGCTTTCAAGCATTTCATTGCCGATATGCTCTAGTATGAAAATAGAAGAGTAAAGCAAGATAGTAGGTGAAAGAGAACAGGCAATGAAGAGATAAGGCCAACCACAGGTACGATCACTGATACAAAAAGTATTACTTTTGCGACCGGTTTTGAGCTGAAAACTGGGCCAGATATGAAACTTCCTTGGTGTCTGAATCAAACCATTACAGAACTGTTCGGAATGCGATACACAAGAATACTTGGAGTTCTCAGGCATAGGTAAAAGACTCGTCTGAAGCGCATTCAATAATAGTTTTGGCAACCTCGACAACAATAATCAGATGAGGTGAGCCTAGGAGTTCTGCATAAACGAAAAAGCACTTTGTAGATGATCTCGCAACAAAAGAAGGCTTTGTAATCGATATTTGTATTTTGAAACACTAGTTGTTCACATATTAATATAAAAAGCTAATGAGAGACAAACGAGTCATGGACAATTTCTCGCCCTTTTTTGGAACCACGCTCAACAACAAAAAAAAGATATGAAAAAGCGAAGCAGGAAAAGACGAAAAAATTGTGCCGCGCTTTGCTATGTGATGAACTAGCTCATGATCTGCAAATCAGCACGATCAGAATATCTACTCCACTATATAAACACTCTTAATCTCATGTTTCTCTGAAGCGTTGGAAAACATAGAAAAATCTATTGTTAAGAGAAAGCTTATTCAAAACAAACACCGTTCTGATTCGTATAACCTGAGGATTCTATCAGCTTTTAGACGACAGGAAAGCTTAACTACTGCAACAAAAGAAGAATGCTGGACCATAAGAATGCTAGGAACATTTACCAGAGAGCTCAGATATAATCCAGTGACATGTACTCTAATATCATTTGAAATGACTAACCGCGTGAAAACCGTTTGAAAGAACATCACGTAAAAGGTGCATGTTTTATGTGCGAATCAATAAACTACTTGATTTGCGCTAGTCAAATTGTGATAATTTCCATCGGTGAATGATATCGTCAAATTTTTGAGGAGTGCTCAGGGAACAACTATAACATATAGCTGTTCTGGTGAGGGGTCCTAACCGACGGTCTTATGCTACACCTCTTGCTCGACCCTGGCTATAAGTACGGCATTGACATTTGATCCTTGGACCTGTATCTTTCATCGGTCTTGGCTGGAAAGATCCTATTTTCAACTAGCTACAACAATCATTCAATAAAATACTAGAATGAGTCAAAAGTAATGAGAACTTCGTATCTCCTTTTAAACCTATTCTCAAATTAGGTAGAATGTAAACAGGCAAATGTTCTAAACGGTATCCGATACGGCTTTTCTTCCTCTTTCCAGCAGTCATAATTTTTAACCAAATCACTTTGCAGTTGATGCAATATTTTGCAAAAATTTTGAACCCAAAGCGTTTGCGATTCAAATTCTATGATTTTCCGAAGTGGCAAAAAATTCTAGATTATGGTAATTTGAAACGATAAGCGCTTCAATATTTTGCGGAATCAAAGTTTCATAATAAACTATTTTCGAAGCTCCCGATTTCGAAAGATTTTGTAAAGTTTGATGCATTTTTGTTTTGAGCGATTTTTTGGAATTTTAGGGCTTTTGGAAAAATGATTTTGAAAAGCCTCAAATTGCCAGTTTCAAAAGACCCAAGAGGTGCTTTGCATTAAGCAGGACCTGCTTTCTCTTTAGATAATCGAATTTGTTTGGAATTCTCAAACCAAAAGTTCTGAGGATTAGCTAAACTCACTCAAAGCAAAAACGACGGGTTCAAAATTTGGGCAAATTTTTCGACAACTATGAAGTCAGCTGGGCCATTGGCCTGACTGCTGAAAAGGGAAAGAAAAGCTACGTTTAATACAGTTTAGGGTACTCTTCTATCAATATTTTACACAATTTGCTAAAAGTTCGAAAAGGTGCGCGAAAAGTTCTCACTACTTTTGACTCAACCTAATAAATTTAATTGAGAGCAGTTTCTTAATTCGGCTGAGGTGGCTTACAAACAGTGTTCTCAAAAATGCTTTATAAAAGCTTACAATAAATGCTGGAACAAAGATCAGTCAAATCAGAGACAGACAGATTACTGGACATGGCGAAGAAGACTCTCTGAGAAACTTCAGCCGACAAGCATATCCTTGAAAGCTTTGCCCTTTTTCTGCGACATAGAAAAAACAGACAAAAAGCGAAACACCCTAAGTAGGATGTCATTAGACAAGCGTTTTTTTCCCTACAATAGCTATGGGAAAATGCATTTTTCCATTGCAAGCATTACCAAACTCCTTCACACAAACGACCATTCACACCGCATTACAATGAGCCTGTACTCTAAATATAGATGCGGCGTTACGAAGAGTGAGTTGTAAAAGTGACAATTCTCACAGATTATTCATCATTGAGCAATATTGTGCACACTGCGAATAACTACTCCAAAGCGGAATCGTACTTTTCTCAGCACAAAAAAAGACGGAGCAGAGTAAGCACCGCTTTGGTAGTGCACTCGCACTTTATGCTAGGACTAGCACCACTAGCAATTCAAACAAAATTCCTGGAATTGTCGTAAGTACCAAGGCAAAACCCGTTAGCGCACTGTTCATGCCGATTTCAATCGCGAGTTCTATTTCTATAAGCTTTAGAGAAAGATAATCAGTGTACACGTCATCACACATCATCTACTCGATTTCCATCCAGCATTATGAATCGGCTACTAGAAAGAAAATAACTGCGATAGAAAAGGACATCTTCATATCTCCTTACAAATTTGGCACCGATTCCAATTTCGCAAGAGGCCGTTCGATGACCTAGATGCTTACCCAGTTTTTGGTGACATGTCTGC